TCCAGCGAAATCGCTTAGAGCAAAAACATCAAATGAAATAAAAAAACATTGAAACGCATTTAAAAAGTTCAATGTGTTCCAATGGGCTGAATACCTGCTCGTCCAGCGAAGATCCTCCATACGGCGGTCATTTTCGGTGCCTGTAAAGCGAGGAATCCATCCTAGAAAACAGCGGGGCGCCATTTTCTTCAGCCAGCAGCTGTTTTGAAACCGACGATCAGCTGTTTGCTGATCGTCATAAAGCGATAATCGGTTCCTGAAGCAGGGAACCGATCATCGCAAAGCGAAAAAAACCATTTAAAACAGCGGATTTGTTGTAGAGCGGGGTAATCGTCCATCGGGGCATGACTGTATCAGTAAGGGCAAGATATGGCTTGGGAAAGTTACTTTTTCCAAACTCTGGCTGTAGGAGACACTTGACAGTGATCATAAATACTTCTGTAGAATGATGTGGGGACATAGCGATCCTGAACTGGCTGTGGGACACATTCATGTGTCTGTATGGACAGTGGTGGTAGACAATTACCACTTTCAGTGGAGGGAGCTATTTTCTTTCTTTGGAATGATGCATTTGATGTAAGCAGATTGTGATAGATAAAATAAAAGATTGCTTCTCTTTTGTTTTATAAGTTTGCTGCAAAGAATTAAGCTTTGTAATACTCTCAAGATTATTCATAGTCCATGGTAGGTAGTTGGTTAAAAAAAGAAGCAAGTGTGCATTGAGTCATTCCTGGCTAACTGCTGCTTGAATCTGAACAAAAGTGCTGTTGTGACTATACCATAACCAGACCTTATTAATCAAACTGTCTTATGCCTTGATGTTTCAGCCAAAGATCTGTTATTTTTGTAAATGGGAAAAATGCAGTGTCTTTAGGAAAAAAATTGTTTTGTTTTTACTATTTGAATGCATTATAGTAAGTTGGGCAAATGCTTTTGTTTGCAGCTTGTCAAGAGCCAAGTTAGGCATGATGGCAATAGATCTATTTGTTTAAAAGTCTATCTCAGTTCTTTATTAAACTTGTACTTGTTTGTGATAAATCCTTCTTTTGCCCACTCTCTGGATCTCTAAAGTCGATCCTTCTGAAGGCTTGTTGTACACTCAGAGTTTAGAAATCATCCAACACATCTCCCAGTGCAAGCATTATGGCATCTGGTTTGACCTACTGAGCAGGAAGGCCCATCGGGTGTAGTTATGATGGACCATGTGACTTTGACAAGCATCACTGTTGGCAAGGGAAGGTTTTCGTTGTGGAGATTACTGCTTGTGCAAAGGCAGCACTTGCACATGTGAGCAATCTAGTGTTCTCATGGCAGGGCTTTCTGAGTAGAAAGTGGAATTGTGCTACTTGTGCAAACTCACTACTGTACATACTTGCCTTTATAACTACAAGATCCGTAAGAGATGGCTGTCTGGGCTCTTCTTAGGTACCTTCAGCAAAGGAGAGCTGACCACTATCTAGAGATGTCTGTTTCACTAAAAAAAATTGGCTCTTTCATCCTTAGGAAGGTTCACCTCCTATTTAGCTGAAACTTGCTTCCCTCCTGTTTCAACTTGTGCTAGCCCTGCCCTTTGAAACAGAATAAAACAAATGTACTCTGTCTTCTTCAACATAAAAAAAAAAAAAGATCATGGTCACTGGACCCATCACCACTGGGAAATAGACGGGGAAGATATGGAGGTAGTGACAGATTTTACTTTCTTGGGCTCCATGGTAACTGCACAGGGTGACAGCAGCCACGAAATTAAAAGACATCTGCTTTCTGGGAGGAAAGCAATGACAAACCTAGACAGCATCTTAAAAAGCAGAGACATCACCTTGCCGACAAAGGTCTGCATAGTCAAAGCTACGGTTTTTCCAGTAGCGATGTATGGAAGTCAGAGCTGGACCATAAAGAAGGCTGACCGCCAAAGAATGGATGCTTTTGAATTGTGGTGCTGGAGGAGACTGTTGAGAGTCTCCTGGACTGCAAAGAGAACAAACCTGTCCATTTTGAAGGAAATCAACCCTGAGTGCTCACAGGAAGGACAGATCCTGAAGCTGAGGCTCCAATACTTTGGCCATCTGAGAAGAGAAGACTCCCTGGAAAAGACCCTGATGTTGGGAAAGTGTGAAGGCGAGAGGAGAAGGGGACGACAGAGGACGAGATGGTTGGACAGTGTCATCGAAGCTACCAACAGGAATTTGACCCAACTCCGTGAGGCAGTGGAAGACAGGAGGGCCTGGCGTGCTCTGGTCCATGGAGTCAGAGTCAGACATGACACCCTTGCAATTCTGTCAGAAAATGCTACCCTTCTCTCAGAAAATTGTTGCAATTGCAAATGTTTTGGTACTCACATGTTCATTTCTTTAGTTTGTGTTGGAACGACACAGAAAAACAAAGAAGAAAAGTCAAATCAGATACAATTCCACACAAAAAACCCCAAAATGCACTGGCCAGAATTATTGGCCCCCCTAACTTAATATTTGATAGCATCCCCTTTGGAAAAAAATAACTGAAATCATTCACTTCCTGTAACCATGAAAGAGTTTCTTACACCTCTCTACTGGAATTTTGGACCACTCTTCTTTTGCAAACTGCTCCAGGGCCTTCAAATTTGAAGGATGCCTTCTCCCAACAGCTGTTTTGAGATCTCTCTACAGATGTTCTATGGGACTCAGATCTAGACTCAGTGCTGGCCATTTCAGAACTCTCCAGCGCTTGGTTTGTAACCATTTCTGAGTGCTTTTTGAAGTGTGTTTTGGGTCATTGTCCTGCTGAAAGACCCATGACGACCGGTGGAGACGCAGCTTTCTGATACTGGCCACCACGTTGCACCCCAAAATTCTTTGGTAATCATCAGATTTCATGATTCCATCCACACAGTCATGGCATCCAGTGCCAGAAGCAGCAAAGCAACCCCAAAACATCTTTGACCCACCACTTCTACTTCATTTTTGGACTTTAAAAAAACCCAAAATATATGTGTGCTGTATTTAATAAAATATGGTTTGAATGGAAACTGTATTATTTTAGACACCTGACATTATTTTAGGGCAGAAAAAATAACAGTTCGTATAACACACAATGGAAGATGTGTTTGGGGGTACATGACAGTTAGCATCAAGGTAAACACCATGGGACAGACATATGATTGGTGAAACCAGTTTTTGTACTCATTTGAGTTTGTTGCTTTAGCTTCTTGAATACTCATATTTCTGTATCTCCCACTACTAGGTTTTTGCAAAAATAGAATTGTTTAATAGATTTCATTAATGATATTCATTTTGCTTGATGGGATTTGATTGAGAAGAACTGAGTTGAAAAGAATTGGGGGAAATTGAATGTAGAATGCAGTTTTGATCATGGTGATCTGGAACACTGGAATCCATAATAAAGGTAAAAGTAATCTGGTATATTTGGGTTTGGGGCATTCTGTTCAGTAGTCTTTTCAGAATGGAAAACAAAAATGTTACTTCAGTTTTGTGTTCTTTAGTCTGTAATTTTCATGTTATCCTACACTGGTACTCTGAGACTCCTAGCTTCTTGATAGCACTTATAAGAGCTGTGCTCGTTTTTTAATATCTCAGTGAGATTAAAAACAGGCACCAAGCTTAATTCTTCAGCTTCCTAGTATGGTGGTTACTATTTTAGCAGCAATGCTGTCAAAGACGTAGAAATCTAATTAAGCCTAGGAAGCAGAGATGATGTGAATAGTAAATACTTCAGCATACCAAGAGAAAATAGTAGTATTTTGTGGTGTCTTTCTGTGTAAATATGCAAACAAAGCCTCTTAAAGCAGTGTGTCATATTGTCACACTGTATATGCCACATAATATTGTCCATAAGTAGTGGCTGTTTTATTCTGTGCTGATGTGGAAATATAGAAAATGCATGTGATATAAAATGTCCAGCACTGTTCCAAAAGCATATAGTAATACTCTGTATCAAATTCCTTGTTTGTCAACACTGGATCAGTATTCTTCCCTGTATGCTAGCTTTCCATGAACAGAGATGGAGTCTTTCACAAAGGACAGTTAGGGCTAAACCCCTTCCCCCCAGATGTCTAAATACTGAAGTGGTATTTCTTATATTATCCTGTCTTAACCCTCATAAGTAATGGCAAGATTCCTGTGTATGGGGAAAACTGCACCTTAGAAAGCCACCTCTTTTGTTGTCTAAGCCAGAGGTTCTTAATCTTTGTTACTCGGATGCTTTTGAACTGCAACTCCCAGAAACCCCAGTCAGCACATTTGGTGGTGAAGGCTTCGTAATGGCAAGATTCCTGTGTATGGGGAAACTGCGCCTTAGAAAGCCCACCTCTTTTGTTGTCTAAGCCAACTTCCTTCCTTCACTGGTAATTGGCTCCTGAGTAACTCAAGGTTAAGAACCAGTGGTCTAAGCCAACTCCCTTCCTTCACTGGTAATTGGGTTTTTTTTTTCTGTGATGCATTTTGATTGGCTATTGTCACAGCCAAGAAGTGTTCTTCTCTGTTTTAGCCATTAGATAAATACAGTAGTGTTAATTCAGGAAGTAGCATGCTACTTGAAACATTAAACCATACAAAACATAGTATGATAAAAAGTAATCCATAATCTAACAAGTTACTGCTGTCACTGGGCCCTAAAAGCCTGGATAAAGAACTACAGTACTGTACATTTTAACTTGTTTCTGAAATGAATCCAGTCTTGGTACCAAGTGGGCCTTTAAGTACTCTTTTGCTGTTAATCATGGCAAAAGAACAAATGTGAGATCATGCATGTGCAGTCACGTTGTTTGAACTGTTGTTCAATACTGTGTCGTCTTTACCCATTAAAAAATTCCCTGCAAACCGTATGGCTTTTTCACATAGAAAATAGCAATAAAATTCATCCCTCCACATTTGAGGTCCTCCTTCCTATTTGTTAGTACACAAACAGTAAAGCACGCATAGTACCGCAAACACAATTCTGCAAAAAAGAAATCAAAAGAGACCGAGGAAAAGCTCTAAGACCTTGTTTATATTCTCACTAGGGCTTGGATGATGAGAGGTAGGTTATACTATCCAGATGTATTCCTCAGGTTTCAGAAGTGGCTCTAATGCAAATACAAGATACAGTATTTTGGTTTCTCCATGTGTAACAAATTAGTGGTGAATACTAGGAGTCCAGCATTGAGAAGGAAATCTATGGACTGTGACTCCAGACGAAATCTACATATTTGTTGTTCCGAAGTGCTAATCCCATTGTATCTTTTTCCTAGCTTTCTGAACTTGAGTTGTGTAAGATAAGCCTTCCTCCTTTTTGAGTGAAATATGGGTGGAATTCAGTCATCTTTTATTTTTATTTTTTGCAGTGCTGTGTGCCAAGAACCTTGCAAAAAAAGATTTCTTCAGTAAGTAATTGGCAAATGTCGATACATTTTTTCATGCTTGCTTTTTTCCATCTGCATATTTGAGCTATTATACCGATGTTAGTTCTTTTCCTGTGTGTTTCTGTTGGGGCCATTTAAGGATAATTTCTCAGGAGTCGGAACTGACTGACATTTCTGTTGTGCAAACGCTGCAACATCAGGCTATTCCTCTCACACACACACCCCCAGTTGTTTAAAATCCAACCACAACTGTGGGCAAGTAAAATTGTTCCTGCTCTCCTTATTCCTCTAAATCAGGAATGGCACTATAAGGCATGGCAGATCTTGTGTCATGTTAATATCAAGTCACAGAGAATTAACATAAGAATCAACCTGCAGCCTCAAGTGCGGAAGGTCAAGCAGGCGCTTTTCTTGGAGAAGCTTGTTGTGGCAGTTGTACAACAGGGGCTTGGAAAAGTGGCTTGAACTATAACAGTCCCTTGCATTTCTAGGGTTTTCAGTTTACTGCTGACATGCCTATATCATGGAATTGTTTACATACTACATTTCTCTAGAAATTCTTAACTGTTTTCTTAGTGTGGAGAAACCCTTTCCTGTCAGGGTTGGGGAGGAAGATCCTTTGCCACATTTTACAGCCTCGGTTATAGTCCGTGCAGCTGCTGTCTTACATTTCAGCAGAGGTTCTTACAGTGAGTTAGAACCTCCTAGATCCCTTTCCCCCAATGCTCTTTCTTTTCTCCAACTTTTCTCTCTTCCCCCACACCTGTAGTGGTCATGCAACCTTTCTCTTTTATCACTCCTTCTCCATGTAGTGTGTGTGTGTGTGTATCTGGAATAGTGTGTGTGAGAGAGAGCTGTTTGAAGAGTGCAGAATCTTACCGAACGGAAGCAGAATGTGGAATTGCCTGCAAGCATTGTGAAGAAATGAATCTCCCAGGTCCCAGGCCTACCTTCAGTCTTCTCTCAAGGGTAGATCAGGAGCTCTTTGTATCTAAAGGATGTACAGAGTACAGATTTTAATTAACTAAAATGTAATTAATCTGTTTTAAAAACAACACAACCCTGAGATACTGTACATCACAAGGATTTCATTAGAGTCTGTGCCAAGTTCCATGTGTCTGAACCTCATTCTCTTGGGGGTTATTCTGGAGACAGGCATGAATGGATGCGCTTTCATTGTTAGAGATTGCTTGCAATAAATGACTGTAGTGACCTTGCACATCTTGCTTCTTTGCAGGGCTTCCTGACCCTTTTGCAAAGGTGGTGGTTGATGGGTCTGGACAGTGCCACTCAACTGACACTGTGAAGAACACGCTAGATCCCAAGTGGAACCAACATTATGACTTGTGAGTTATGAGCTACCTGTTTGGTAAAGGTTACTGTATGTTGCAAAGAGGGAAGGGATCAGTATTCTTTAGGGAAGTGTAGATAGAAAATGGTGACCTACTCATACCCATCCAAAATGCTTTTTAAAACTTTGCTGTTTATTTGTTTAAATGTTTCTTGCCCACTTTTTTGGCCGACTGCAATGTTCCCTGGGTTGCATTGTTTGTATACAAGAAGGCAGTATGGCTGATTCAGGTACTGTATTTCAACTGCTCCTCTTTAAAGATCCCACATTGAACAGATAAGGGAATGCCACTTCTGAGGGCAAGGGGGGGTTATCCATATGGTGCTTTATAGTGTAATGTTCATGTGGTCTATCTAATAAGGCTAAAGCACTATGTGTTGATAAAGTAATTTCAGATTCACAAAGAGAAGCAGTATCTGCATAGCTTAATGAGTTCTGTGCTCCACAGTTTGTAATAAGGTTGCCTGTAATTAACAAGTGCTAGTACATTGTCAGTTTAACACGCTTTGTAAAAATTATAGTGATCTAATGATTAATTACATGTTTCCATATTTGATAAAACTGCAGTGTGACCAAGAAATTATTAAAATGAGCTCGGTCTTCCTGAATGTAAATGTTATGCCCCAGGAAAGGAATGAACTTCAATTGAATATCTTCTTCCAACTGATCATTCCAGATATGTCGGGAAGTCAGATTCTATCACCATCAGTGTCTGGAACCACAAGAAAATCCACAAAAAGCAGGGAGCTGGCTTCCTGGGATGTGTCCGACTCCTTTCCAATGCCATCAGCAGGCTAAAAGATACTGGATGTAAGCATGTATGAGTTACCAAAGGTCTGCTATGACTGGCAGCACTTCATGTCGGAGTGTTCTATGTTGAGTGTTGGTTGAGTCAGTTCTTGCATCAAGTTTCTCCCCCCCCACCCCAATTTTTCCTTTGCAGACCAACGTTTGGATCTATGCAAACTAAACCCCACAGATACGGATGCAGTGCGAGGCCAGATTGTGGGTAAGAGGAAAACATTCCTGCCTGCATAGATAATAGCGAAAATAATCTCTGTTTTCTTCGGCTCTTTGGCTATAGGGTGTGCTCATGTTCAGAAATTATTGGGGAATGACAATATTAGGCTGTCCTTGAGGGTGGTTTGGCAAAATTGGAATGGTTATTATTTTAGGGATTTGCAGTTCCGAGCCTGTCTAACTTTTCCTCAGAAGTCTGTTCTATCCAGTTTGGAGAGAGAAGAAGATTTAGCTCAGCTGAACATTAAGAGGCAGCTGTTTGGCAGGCAGTATTATTGTGGCCTGTAAAGTGAATCCTTTATTGAGAATGGTGATGGACTGGCTGATCTCAAAGAACCCTCCCAGTAATAAATTGAAGACAATCCAGTTCCATATATGGGTGCCTGTTATTGATTGTTTTGACACCTTGACACATGTCAAGTACTGCATATGCTGAGTTGCTAGTTTCCAGGCAGGCTTCAAGATGTTAATGTGCTGTCTCTTAAACACACCTTGACTCCCCTAAATAAATTGGACATAGCAAGCCTGTGGGGGTCTGCTATGACTAAACTGGTGGCAGAGGTTAATTTTTTTTTCCTAGCCAGAATACTTTGTGTTTTTTCTTCTTTTTTTCTTTTTAAATGCTGAGCCTCAAGCTGCTTTGTGACCAATAGCTGTCTTATGTGAAAGGACATAAATCCGGGGGAGGGCAGGGCTGATTAGCAACCAGCTGTTTGGTAACTGCTAAATGGGATTGATATATTTTTGTGGTCATCTTGAAAAACAGATTTCTGAATTGTCTCTTGGATCCATGTACAGTATTCAGATTTCAGTGGAAGCTCTGTCTTACAGCTTGGAAAATAGTGGATGTGAGAAAAGATGTCCTTCCTTTCAAGCAGGAAATGCACACTAGGCAAAAAAAACCCTGCATTCCGTTTTATAGTGCCATCTAATGGCAAATATTCTTTTTCCTAACTGTGAGAGAATGTTCAAAATGCCTTTTAGAAATGCAGAGAATGCTTCATGTTTTTAACCAGAAAGGAAATTTTTGAGACAGAAATCTACACATAGGAGTGTTGTGTAGTATATCCTCTTCTTATTTTTTTATGTTTTAATTGCCTGCACAATAAAAGCATACATCTTGAATAGCAGGCTTAGAATGTCAGATCTCTTAAAGAGTATCAAGCTTGACTCTTGAGTGTTTTTCTCTTTTCTCATTAATGATTTATTATAAAAAAATAAAGATGTAATGCAACTTTTAAATATGTATTGTCAAAACATTCCCTTCTTATGAGGGTAAAGAGTCTGCAAGTAATAAGCTACCCAAATTCTCAGACCCTTTGTCTTCATAAGAAAGGGAGATCAGTTATACTCAGCTATTCTAGGCTATCTTTTAAAAGATGTAGAAATGCCTAACATATTGAGTTAAACTATGTTAAGAAGATTTGGGTTTTGCTTAGTTGTTTCTTTCACATTTCAACTGAGATTTGATAAATTTTGCAAATTCCATTGTCAAAGTGTTAATGTTGGTGTTCCTTCTGCTCATTCTAGTCAGCTTACAGACACGGGACAGGATAGGCACAGGAGGCTCTGTTGTAGACTGCAGGGGGCTGTTAGAGAATGAAGGGTAGGTATTCTGTTATTTGGTGACTTTATGGATCTTATCCCTTTAATCTTACAGAATTAAACAAATCGGTCTTTGTTCTCTCTCTGTCTTTTATAGACTAGACCAATGGTTCCTGACCTTGGGTCCCTAGATGTTCTTAAACGACAACTCCCAGAAATCCTGGCTATTTGATTACTAGCTCCCAGAAGCCTCCAGCCAGTATGGCCACTGGTCATGCTAGCTGAGGGGATTCTGGGAATTGTAGCAAAGAAAAAATGTTCTTTATGAGTTCTGGACAAAGTGACCGTGCTAAACTATTAAGTCTTGTTCAAGTACAAACTGGGTGTCTCTTTGCCTTGTAAGTGCTCAGTCTCAATTTAATGTACTATAGGAGGCCATTTTTGGCCTGTGGGGGTGGAGTGCTGTCCAGAAGGTCTCTGTCCCATGTGCCACGAGACACCCACAGGTTACTGTTTCCCCTTCTCTTACAGTATGCCTCAAGAGCTGCATGGTGTAGAGCAGGAAGACAGTAGCTTTGGCTGTCTTTGGTTAGGAGGGCTGGGCCAGACAAACCTGATAAGTGTGCAGTGATTCTTCCTTTGGAATTCTTCACACTAGAGAATGTCTGCCTAGTGCCTCCTTATTCTTGTAGTCAAATCAGATGCTTGGCTCTGGCACCCCTGCATGAAATATCCAGTACATTTTTGTCTAAGGGAGTGTTGAGAATTTTGATTATAAAGTGTATTCTCATCACATCAGCAGAGTAAGGAGATACTGGTTAGCAGAGATACTTATGACACTATGACAATGAGAGAGTAAAACCAACAACTTAGTCTATTTACATATATACATAGAGAATAGACATCCCTCTGGCAGCATAACATGACATGAAGCAACACGCAGCATAGAAAAAAGTGATCTGACATATAGCAGATGGAGATGTTCATTTTACACATGACTTATGTACAGTTCTGTGATCAATCAGAAAATACATTACTTCATTTTCTGTTACACACAATTTCATCATGTACACAGCTGTATAACATAAACTCTTAATCCTTGATACCTACACCTGAATGCAGTCATACAGTGACTCAGGTAAAATCAGCCATTTATTTATTTATTTAACTTATATGCCACCCACTCTACCCAAAAGTCTCTGGGTGGCCATTTCACTTCAGAGTGAAGTGAAATGCATAGCTTTTCACTTCACTTGTGGCCCACCTTTTAGCATCTGGCAGAACCAACAATTAATATTGTTGGCCCAGTCTTAACATGGTTTCTCAATGTTTTTCCCTTCTGTGTTATTTATTTATTTACTATGCAACATTAATATTTAATACATTTTCATATCAAAATCTCAACAGGGAGATGTCTGTAAAGTATGTTCTTCCCACTTCCTCTGATGCCCACAAGATTATATCTGAGAGTGCCTCTTGATTCTGTTTCAAGGGAATTTCCTGATCTAAGTTCTTTGAGCCTGCTTCTTTTTATGGCAGTCCCTGTGTTTGAGAGGGTTAAACATCCTTCCTTGAAGGAAATTCCTTAAGCATTTCTTTACATCCTTGTGGCATTCCCTTTGCAAATCTCCTTGCTTTCAGAACGGTTTATGAAGACTCGGGCCCAGGAAGGCCGCTGAGCTGTTACATGGAGGAGCCAGCGCCATACACAGACAGCACGGGTGCTGCTGGAGGAGGCAATTGTAGATTTGTGGAATCCCCGAGCCAGGATCAGGCATTGCAGGGCCAGCGGTTACGGACCCCTGATGTCAGAGGCCATGTACAGACTCCCCAAAACAGACCCCATGGGCATCAGTCGCCGTCACCTGACCTGCCTGAAGGCTATGGTAAGGCTGCGTGGCAGCTTTCTCCTGGCTCGGTAAGCCAGAGGCTAAAATCAGGATGGTGTGTGGGTATTGCACTTTACATTCCCCATCTTGCAGACTTCCCAGCAAGGCCATGCAAGGTTTAAAACTGCTGTGTCAGCTTCTTAACTTGTAACTCTCCAAGTTTTACCTGCTAGTTGAGTTTCCGAAATATTTGCAAGTGTTTGTTGCAGGATGGATTTGATTTCAATCAATTTGATTTCAATCACAGTTTACATTTTTAAAATTGGATTTAAATCAATTTGATTTTAAATAGTCATTGATTGTAATCCATCCTGGTGGATCTGTCCAGTGTCTACTGCTTTTGTTTTTCTCTTTTCCTTTCCCTTTCTAGGGTAGGGATTGTGATGCATCATCATGACAGGGATGACTACTGTTCTGTAATCCTCAGTATGTGGTATAAGCACTATGACTTTCATTCTGTACTTTACCTGTTCCTGCTGCCTGGGGTATAAGCACTATGACTTTCATTCTGTACCTTACCTGTTCCTGCTGACTGGGGAATGCTAGGATATTTGCCCGGAGTCAGAAGTGCTTTGTATGTTCTAAAGCAAATGAAAAGAAATGTTAATGATGAAAAACAGGCAAATGAAAAGAAATGTTAATGATGAAAATGGCTGAAATCGTGTTGCATAGTGTAATAAGTCACAACTAGAGTATGCCCATTAAATCAGTGGAACCTACAGAAGAGTTGGTTCACCAAATCCCACCAATTCAACAGGCATTCTCTATTTGTGACTTTCTATAAAAGCAACAGAATTTCATTTAATGTGAAATATGATTCAAAGTATACGTTTTGTAAAAGCATGCATTTATTCCTCCCTTCCCCCCCCCCTTTTGCCATCACTTGGTTTTTATAAGCCTCTCAGTGTGAAAATAAAGCTGAGCTGAGAAATGATAATACCTGAGAACTTGCTACAAAAGCCTATGGAAATAAATCATCCTAAATTCAGTGATGACATAAACTGGGTGATAGAACATTTTTAGTTATTGTATTGATAATGCATTTATGTATCCTGAACCCTTGGGAATTGGGGAAGGTGATTAATGAAGATGGTAAAGCTATTTTCATGAAAGTGTAGGCTTGGTGAAGTGCCTGATGGATTTCTTCTGAGTTGTGTTCTTCTTTTAGCTTACATCTGTAACCAGTAAAATACAGTTAGTTTTAGCATTACCCTTCCCCCCCCCCTTTTGCCATCACTTGGTTTTTATAAGCCTCTCAGTGTGAAAATAAAGCTGAGCTGAGAAATGATAATACCTGAGAACTTGCTACAAAAGCCTATGGAAATAAATCATCCTAAATTCAGTGATGACATAAACTGGGTGATAGAACATTTTTAGTTATTGTATTGATAATGCATTTATGTATCCTGAACCCTTGGGAATTGGGGAAGGTGATTAATGAAGATGGCAAAGCTATTTTCATGAAAGTGTCTGATGGATTTCTTCTGAGTTGTGTTCTTCTTTTAGCTTACATCTGTAACCAGTAAAATACAGTTAGTTTTAGCATTAACTGAGCTTTACAGGGACGTGGTGGCGCTGTGGGCTAAACCGCAGAAGCCTGTGCTGCAGGGTCAGAAGACCAAGCAGTCGTAAGATCGAATCCACGCGACGGAGTGAGCGCCCGTTGCTTGTCCCAGCTCCCGCCAACCTAGCGGTTTGAAAGCATGCAGATGCAAGTAGATAATTAGGGACCACCTCGGTGGGAAGGTAAACAGCGTTCCGTGTCTAAATCACACTGGCCATGTGACCACGGAAAGATTGTCTTCGGACAAACGCTGGCTCTATGGCTTGAAGAGCGGGATGAGCGCCACCCCCTAGAGTCGGACACGACTGGACAAAAATTGTCAAGGGGAACCTTTACCTTTACCTTACTAGACATGTTAAGGAAAAGATTTTCTTTTGAGGTTCTCCACTAATATTGTTATTTTCCCCCCTCCCCTTTCTCTGTAGAACAAAGGACAACAGTGCAGGGACAAGTTTACTTTTTACACACACAAACTGGTGTTAGCACATGGCATGATCCCAGGATACCAAGGTATGTCTATATGCGACATAGTCAGTGGAGGGTAGAGTGTATCTTTTCAGATACCTCCTACCCCTCCCAGTTAACGCAGTTAAAATGCATTGCACTGGGGAAGGGGGAGGTCTTTTGTAAATATTAGGCTTTGTTACACAAGACTTTCCAGTGTTACGATTGTCTTTCATCTTGCTGAAATCATCTGCAAAGAAGTGTTTTTTGCCAAGTTCAAAAAACATTGTCTTAATCCTTTATCTTGTGCTTTTCACAGAGACCTTAACAGTGTGAATTGTGATGAACTTGGACCTCTGCCGCCAGGCTGGGAAGTTAGAAGTACAGTGTCTGGAAGAATATATTTTGTAGATCATAATAACAGAACCACACAGTTCACAGACCCAAGACTCCATCACATCATGAAGTAAGAAACGAGTGCTTTTTTACTTTATTCCCAAGGCTCAATGTCGTAACACCTGATCTGGCCCCATAAAATAGAAGCGGAGCAAATGAATTAGTAGCTGTGTTGCTGTCTTTCTCATCAGCATGTCAAAATATCTTGGTAGTGAGGTGTTTGGAGAGGGACTGGTCTTAGGCAGCAGAGCCTAGTATTTGATCATATAATTCACATATTAAGCTATAATAGCGAGGTTATTAAAAATGTGTGCAATTTTTTCTGAACACTTAGTAGACCCTGTGGACACCCGCACACCTTGCAAATTGACTTTTGAGGCTGCGAAGGTAGTCGTTTCCTTAGTCTAGTTCTGACCTCCCTGAGTGACCAATACCTCTCCCAGGTCTCAGATGGAGGTCTTCCTCATTCTGATTTAACTGGAGGAGCCAGGGCTCACTCTAAGGCTTCTGTATTCCAAGCATGTGCTCTGCCACTGAGCACGGCTCCCTCTTCTCATAGGCTGCAGTGCTTGGGAAAAGGGTGGTTTTCAGGACTGCTCCCAGAACCATTCAGCTTGTACAGTTAAGACCCTACTTCCTGGGAGGATTCTGGGAATGGCAGCCCAAACAACTTGTTTTTTGAAGCTCTTAGCATGGATAAGTGGGGCTCATTTGATCTCTCTTGTGAACAGCTGTGTCTAAAAGAAAAAGGGTGTGTGCATATGTTGTCTTTAAATGATGGGTTCAAACCTGCTTCCTGTTTAAGAAAGTACAAGCTGCTGTTGGCTGGAGTTCTCCAGCTCATTACATGAGGGGGAGCAGTAGGCAAAGGCTGTTGCTCCAGAAGTAGACCTGTTTTTGGAGGAGGTAGAGGTTCGTTGGTGCCACTCAAGAGATTTGAGCCTAGTAATATGATGAAAGGGTGTATGCCATCCTGAACTGAGTTGTGCAAGTCAGTCTTTTGCCACAACAAATTAATTAGTCCTTATTGTATCAGAGGGGACTTTGATGTGTTTACTACAGTGCACTCATGTTGCTTCCCTTCTGTTGTACTGCCAAGCTTACTTGTACCTTTGGATCATCAGCAATTTCCACATGTAATTCTGAAAAGACAGTCTTGGTTCGTACATACTGATGTCAGGAAACCAAGCAGTAACCTGCGTAATGACACACACCCCCCCGAATGTCATTATGCAGGTTATGGTGGCATCACTTTTTCCCTTCTTCTGAAGAGTAACATTTTCCTTCTTTTTTTCCATTTTGGAAGTCACCAATGCCAACTAAAAGAACCCAACCAGCCTTTACCAGTGCCGAACGAGGGGTCGCTGGAAGATAGCGAAGAGTTGCCAGCACAAAGATATGAACGAGATTTGGTACAGAAGCTGAAAATACTCAGGCATGAACTGTCCCTTCAGCAACCCCAAGCTGGTCACTGCCGTATTGAAGTATCAAGGGAAGAAATATTTGAGGTGCGTAGATGTGTGTTTAAGATGAAACTGTGAGGTTAAATGCCTTCCGTCCACTTAGAGTGGAACCTTTCTCAATTTCTGCAAATCTTGCTGTTCAAGAAATCACATCTGCCCCCTTAGCTTAGTCTTGGCTTTGCTTAGTTTTGTATGCTACTGTTTAATTTTCTGTTTTGCAACTTCTGCGTGTTAGGTAAAGGTAAAGGTTCCCCTTGACTATTTTTGTCCAGTCATGTTCGACTCTAGGGGGCGGTGCTCATCCCCGTTTCCAAGCCATAGAGCCAGCGTTTTGTCCGAAGACAATCTCCCGTGGTCACATGCCCAGTGCGACTTAGACACGGAACGCTGTTACCTTCCCACCGAGGTGGTCCCTATTTATCTACTCGCATTTGCATGCTTTCGAAACGCTAGGTTGGCGGGAGCTGGGACAAGCGACGGCCACTCACTCCGTCGCGTAGATTCGATCTTACGACTGCTTGGTCTTCTGACCCTGCAGCACAGGCTTCTGCAGTTTAGCCCGCAACGCCACCATGTCCCTCTGCATTTAGCCCGCAGCGCCACCATGTCCCTCTGCGTGTTACCTTTCCACTAATGTTTGTGCACTGAGCTGTTCACCGCCATTGCCTCTCAAAGTAATGGGGAATGCCTGGCTTCTGTCAAGTTAGCTTTGCATTTTTTGATCTTGGTTTTCGTTGCTTTCCTCAGCTCCCCCATGTCCATAAATATCTAATCTAAAGCACATGCTTTTCTTTTTTGCAAACCTGAAATAATGTAGATAGATTCCAATTTTAACTGAAATCAGATGAAGTTAATTTAAGGTAGACGTTTGTCAGTAAACGTTTATAGGGAACATGAATCATTTCAGAAACCGTCGGAAGTCCTAGAGGGTTGTGACCTACCCTGTTGCACAAGAACAACCCCATTTAGATAAGCGAAGGTTGACGTGGCCTTCTTTGACTTTTATGATGCCAGGAAAGATGCATAAAGTGTGCCTGTGGTTGAAAATGCATTTATACCCGGAGACTATGCTTAAATTCTTTTCCATAGGAGTCATACCGCCAGATTATGAAAATGAGGCCAAAAGATCTGAAGAAGAGGCTGATGGTGAAGTTTCGAGGAGAAGAAGGCTTAGATTATGGCGGAGTAGCAAGGTAAAAGCCGTATTTCCTAAAATGAATGAAGGGAGCCTTCACAGGAAGCTCCAAATATTGCCAATAAGGATGTTTAAATGACCCAAGTAATCATGTTGGAGTTAGCATCCACTACTTGTTGTAAGGATGAGCTTATGAGACCCTCACACCTCTGCTTGGGGACGCGTCAGGGAGGAGACCTGAAGATTCCGCACACCTCAAAGCTCTGTAATTAAACCTAGCCGTGGTTCACTAAAACAAGCCAGTAATTAAGAGTCTGGCTTTGCTTCTGGTGGAATTCAGTTGATGTGAGACAAAGTCCTGTTCACCTTTGTTCTTTCATCTAAAACCATGAATGCTTTGAAAGTCTTTGCAGCTGTATAAGGGGAGGCAAGGAGGGGATATAAAGCTGGCGCTCGTGCAGATTTATTCCCTCAGTGCCAGACCAGGGGCAGGAGAACTTTCCTTGCCTTGGTACCTTCCATAGGTTTTGGACTACATTTTCCCCCCTTGCTTCCAGCTGTCGTGGTGATGGACCTCAGGAGGGCAGGTTGGGAAGGGTGATTTAGGATGACTGGCAAACACAGCAGTTGGATATCTCACACGAAATACTTCTTCTAGACTTTAAAGCCCAATGGGCCTCTGGAATTCCTACAGCAGAAAAATACTAATATGTTTCTCTCTCGAAACTGTCTGAGCTCAGCAACGTCTCGTGACCATTTTGGGGGACATTTTTTATTCCTTTTCTCTCCTGACATCATTGGTCCTTGCAGTGCACTACAAACACACGCGGGTGATGGGTCTGTTTTTTTCATCCTGGAATCCTGCCGTAACTCTGGTTATCGCCCAAGTTCTGAGTTAGACTTTCCTGGGCTTTCCAGCTTCTCTGAGGGCTTAAGGTCCCAGTGGCTGAAATCCTTCTGAGCAAGAAGGGGTTCCCCCCCCTTTGTCTACCTTCACTGATAACATTCCCTAATCTTTGTCTGGGAGCACTTCCCTTTTGACCTTTCCCTTGTCATCACTGGTATGTTGCAAGAATTTCCTTATCTTGTCTGCACTTTAAATCTGTCTAGACGATTGTTGAATCCTCTAGTACGGCTTAACCAAATGTCTCCCATTTAGCTTCAGGGGGATCTACATTATGCAATTAAGCTATTTTATTATCCCGAGTTAAAAACTCAGAATATGTCACCACATGAGAGCGAACAAATTCTTTCAGGAACTGGCATCTTATAAAATGTACTTCCTCCTCCTTTTGCTTAGAAGTGTTCTTTTTGCCAGTCAAATTTCAACACCATCTGGAGGGTGCTTTTATAGTATCCGTAGTGTGATAACAGTTACTAGAGCAAAATATGTTAGATAAACAGAAGCAGATAATCAGATCAAGTCAGCTTTTCAATAAAGTTCACAGTGTTTGAAAGTGTGTTAACAGATCATCACTTGGTAATAGAAAGGGGCCTACTTCCGATGCATTATCAGTCCTCTTCGAATTTGTCTCCATATATTGCATTGACTCTGGAGCTTTTCTTTCCTTTTTAAAGCCTTTTAAAATTCTCTTTTAAACCTGTATTGGGGGCAAAAAAAGTGTCTTTTCTTTGGCAGGGAGTGGTTATACCTATTGTGCCACGAAATGTTGAATCCTTATTATGGACTCTTCCAGTACTCCACAGATAACATTTACACGCTGCAAATAAACCCAGACTCCTCTATCAATCCTGTAAGTATTCTGAAAGACTGGGCTTTGGTCTGAAGGCATGTTTTGGAGAAAGCTTCCTCATGTGGGGGTGGTTGGACTAGGATCGAAAGAGCTGGTTTGGGCTTTGAACCCGTATTTCTCAAGCAGCAGTGCCGTCCGTTCTGTTCCTCCTGCCCGAAATCACATAGAAAGCCACTTTTTAAGTTGGAAGGTTCCAAAGACATTTGAGAGACGGGGCAGGATCCCTGTTTCCCAAGTGGGGGGAAGAGGTCATGATGTCCTGTGTTTGTCAATGTATGTGCATACAAACGGTTAGGTATACTAAAGTAGCTCTTTGCATCCCAGCCATAATCCCTGTGCAGATGTTGAAAACACATACAGCAAAGGAGGGGGGAATGGGTGCTGTTTTGCACCCATTCACCTAACCTGCTATTTGGATTTTGTGACATAATTTTGAGAGTCCAGTGCGAACGGGCCCCATCCGCCAAATGCAGTGGGGCTGGTACAATCTCCCTTTTCCTGGCGTTCACACAGTTCACATCTTCAGATAGAGATGTAGCTGTGGCAAAACTTATACTTCCCCTGGCTTAATAGCTTCTTTATCTTAGTTGCTTGGAAAGTGGCTGTCACAGCACATTTGTTTCTCCGACATTCATATTAAAAGGGAGAAAAGTGGGCTTTTAAATTCAATGAGTATCTGTATCTGGGAGGAAGGTGGGGAATAAATAAAGTACAGTACATAAATCAAAGAAAATGATAGGCAAAGCATTCTGTAGAATAACAGCAGTACCATTTCTTAGGCACCAAAAGTGGCCCTGCTCGCAGACAAGAGAAGAGGTCATGATGTCCTGTGTTTGTCAAACGGTTAGGTAAAGGGGGAGGGTTCAGCAGACACATCTCCAGATTTTGCAGATGCAAAAATGCTTTTGGTAGGGAAGGACTTCCAAAAGCACCCAGGTGGAATAAGGGTGTTCCTTTACCCGCAGCTCTATTGAGTGATGTAGTAGAGAATGGAAAACCTATAACAGAGCAGAAAAGCCGCAGCCCAGTAAATGCAGTGGGGCTGGTACAATCTCCCTTTTCCTGGCGTTCACACAGTTCACATCTTCAGATAGAGATGTAGCTGTGGCAAAACTTATACTTCCCCTGGCTTAATAGCTTCTTTATCTTAGTTGCTTGGAAAGTGGCTGTCACAGCACATTTGTTTCTCCGACATTCATATTAAAAGGGAGAAAAGTGGGCTTTTAAATTCAATGAGTATCTGTATCTGGGAGGAAGGTGGGGAATAAATAAAGTACAGTACATAAATCAAAGAAAATGATAGGCAAAGCATTCTGTAGAATAACAGCAGTACCATTTCTTAGGCACCAAAAGTGGCCCTGCTCGCAGACAAGAAAAGGGGGAGGGTTCAGCAGACACATCTCCAGATTTTGCAGATGCAAAAATGCTTTGGGGAGGCAAGGACTTCCAAAAGCACCCAGGTGGAATAAGGGTGTTCCTTTACCCGCAGCTCTGTTGAGTGATGTAGTAAGTAGAGAATGGAAAAATTAAAACAGAGCAGAGAAGCCGCAGCCCAGGGACGTTCCCAAGCAGCATCCCTTCAAGCTGTTGATTTAGCCTCACTCAGGTTGAGCTTTTCCTTCTGGTTGTATCTTGGTTGGCGCCTTTGAATCCGATTTTAATTCAAATGACAGCTTTTATATGAGTAACATCTGGACGCCTGAAGTGTAGCATAAGAATATTATTGGCCTTGCTAGCTGGGAGATTTTGGGACTTCTAATCAAAAAGAAACTTCTTACCTTTTTTTAAAATCCCAAGGGCTTGAGAAGGTTAAATTAAACTTTCAGTTAATGTCTAAATGCATAAATCCAACCACAAGATGTCAGCCTTGGGCTTTTCTTGGACTGAATGGGTCTTGATGGCTGCTTGGCATTTCTTGCAGGATCATCTGTCTTACTTCCACTTTGTTGGTCGGATAATGGGTCTGGCTGTGTTCCACGGGCACTACATCAACGGGGGTTTCACTGTTCCTTTCTACAAGCAGCTGCTGGGCAAACCCATCCAATTATCTGATCTGGAATCAGTTGATCCAGAACTACACAAGAGCTTGGTTTGGATTTTGTAAGTAATTGAAAGAGAGAGAGAGAGAGAGATGTTTCTATATTCTGTGAAGGGGAATACAATTCCACTTAGCAGGCCTTTGCAACTTCCACCCACTGGCGTCTGAAGTCCCTTCTGGTAGCTTGACTGTAAAAGAGGATGTATATAATTATAATGATTTATCATGTGTATCTGGGGCACCTTAGCATACTGATTTTCAGGGCAGATCACAAAACCCAAAGAATAAAATGCAACCTTAAAATTCAGTATCATAAAAATAAATAGTATGCAGACGAAAAAATATCAGTTTACCTGCACATGAGTACAATAAAATCCAGGTTGGTCACAGAGGACCCAGCTATATACAGTGGTGCCCCGCTTTACGATTATCTCATACGATTAATCCGCTGTACGGCGGTTTCAAAGGGGAAAAATCGCTTTACGACTATCGGTTCCCTGCTTCAGGAACTGATTCTTTGCTTAATGATGGTCTAAAAACACCTGATTGGCGGCTCTCAAAATGGCCACCAGCTGTGCAAAAATGGCTCCCCTGCTGTTTTCAGGACTTACTTTTCGCTGTATAGGCACTGGAAAATGGTTGCCCTATGGAGGAACTTCGCTGGATGATTAGATATTTAGCCCATTGGAACGCATTGAGTGGTTTTCAATGCGTTTCAATTGTTTCCCCCCCCCCCCGCTTGACAACAATTTTGCTCTACAGTGATTTCGCTGGAACAGATTATCGTCGTCAAGTGAGGCACCACTGTAAATCATTATTTAAAAGCTAAATAAAAAGGTCTTCCCCAACGCCAACTCCTATTAAGAATGATTTCTCAGCTTCATGCTGTCAAACTGTTTTACGAAAAATACTTCTGGATGTACCCTGACAGATGCAATAATAATAACTTTGGATTTCTGTTGACAGAGAAAACGACATCACTCCAGTTCTGGATCATACTTTCTGTGTGGAACACAATGCATTTGGCCGAATTCTACAGCATGAGCTCAAGCCAAATGGGAGAAACGTTTCTGTTACAGAGGAGAACAAGAAAGAATATGTCAGGTACCGCTGGACGAAAGACCTTTCCCTTCTTAGATAATAAGACCAAGACTGTGGCAGAGTGCAGTTCTCAATATTGTCTTCCCTCGACCCAGGTTGTATGTTAACTGGCGGTTCATGAGAGGGATTGAAGCCCAGTTCCTGGCTCTTCAAAAAGGTTTCAACGAACTTATTCCTCAACACCTGCTGAAGCCGTTTGACCAGAAGGAACTCGAGGTATAAATTACTTCTTTCACCATTTTAATTGATCATGTTGTAGCCCATAAAGGGAAAATAAGCAGTAAGACATCCTTTCCATTTTTAAAAATGCTGAAATGCTCCAGGCGTAAGGGTCTGTCTGAAGGTACACGGCTGTGTTCAGTGTGCTCTTGGTTTTAACTTTCATTTCGTTTTCTGTAGATGCTGAAACAGATTAACACGGCTACCTCTTTGAAACTGGTTTCAGTCATATAAAGAACACTGCCATATTTAGGAGGCTGGATTTAGTATATAAATAAGCAAAAGGCTGAGCCTGGAGTAGTTTAATAGTACTGATGATGCCATAATGGAGACCAGATTACTCTCTTTTGCTGTAATGTTCTTGGGCATGGCCTTCTCTGGAATGTGGAGGGAAAGAAGACTCAGTACAGAATCTGTAGAAGCTTCCCCTCACTGTAAAAGACAGCACAGCAAATGAAAAGAGCTGCATTCGTGTAGTAGACTGTAGGTCTACTGTCTGATGCAGCAAATACAGTGGTGCCTCGCTAGACAATTGCCTCTTGGGACGAAAAACCCGCAAGACTATTGGTTTTTGCAATCACTGGTGCTTCGCAAGACAAAACCCACAAGACGATTGGTTTTTGCGATCACTATGGTGCTTCGCACGACTTTTTTTCTATGACCGTGCTTTGCAATACTTTTTTTTAGACTGATGGTTCACAATACTTTTTTTTTTTTGAGACAGATGCATAGGGAACCTCGCAAGACGATTTTTTCACAAGACGATGATTTTCACAGAACAAATTAAAATCGTCTTGCGAGGCACCACTGTATAAACATTCAGCACCGTATTGTTGTTCTTGACACTTAAAGCATGTGTTTCTGATCCATCAGCTTATAATCGGTGGCCTGGACAAGATTGACTTGAACGACTGGAAGTCCAACACGCGGCTCAAGCACTGCATGGCCGACAGCAACATTGTCAAGTGGTTCTGGCAGGCGGTGGAAGCCTTTGACGAGGAAAGAAGAGCGAGGCTGCTGCAATTCGTGACGGGTTCCACTCGGGTTCCGCTTCAGGGCTTCAAGGCTTTGCAAGGTGACTGAGAGGGAGGCAGAGTTAGCACACTCGTACCGGGGAACGGTCAGTGGCCTTGCTCCGTGCGGACCGGTGACCTGCCGTCTGTTCCTCCAGGGTGGTGTACAGTCCCAACTGTGTGGTAAAATCCTCTGCTGGAGGAACACAGAATTCTGTATGCAAAGATTTATAGTGACTCAGGGTACAGCTGAGTCTTTTTGATGCAACTCATAGGGTTGCCCCATGATCACGATTGCACTGTCGGGGGGATTTGGGGAACTGTAGTCCAAAGGATATATTTCAGCTTCAGACTGATGGCTTGCCTAGCCCAGTACTGAGTGTTTTGACAAGCAGGGTCTTTACAAGGTTTGGGCATAGAAACGACTTCCTTAAAAGTTTCAGAGGGGAGATGCTGGAATTGAACACCAAAACCTTCCACGTGCAAAGCTTGTGCTCCGTGGCTGTTCTAAAGTTAAGTGTGCTAGCTCCCACTTCGTGTTTCCCCATGTATACAGCCCTGTGTAGCATTTGTGGCTTTTCTGCCCGGCCTTGCTGATGTCAGGGTTTGTGTGCAGCAGAGAAATGGCTGGTCTGCTCGAGCTGCGTTTTTTGAAGGACCTTAACTGGAATGTCTGTTTGCAAGGTTCTACAGGCGCGGCAGGACCCAGGCTCTTCACTATCCATTTGATCGATGCAAACACGGACAACCTTCCGAAAGCTCACACTTGGTAAGATTGCTCTTCCATTCCGACACATTTTTGTGGGGTTTTGTGTGTGTGCGCGCGCACATGAGTGCACATCTGGCCAAGCGAAATGGCAAACCTTCACAAAAAGCAAAAAGTCTTTTCATAATCTTGCAAGTGTTCGTTGCGTATCTCAATGAGCCTTCCCAGGTTTGGTGCCCTGAATGCATACGAACTACAACTGCTCTCTTCTCCAATTAGCCTTGGAATAATGGGAGCAGTAGTACCAAGACACCTGGGGCATTTCATGGGGATGTTCTGTGTGGCAGCACCCTCGTTCCTACAAATACCAGCTTTCCTCGCCCTGGTTCACACAGCCAAATTGCCATCCACTTGTGGAAAGGATCCCCTGTAGTGAACAGAAGCAATTGGTTCATGTGAATATCTGTCTCTTAACAGTGACAGGTCATATAGGAATATAGGGAAGGAGAAAAGGCATTAGATTTTGCTGAATGACAAAAGAGTTTGCTTAAAATATTTTTATCCTCCCTTTCCCAAGGCAGCCGGAAGTTGCATCTGAAAGTAGATTAGCTGCCGTTTGTGGCACAGAATGGTGACCAGTGTGCCTGTCTGGTTAGGATGGGAAGCTCAGTCAGCGGCATTGTCATTGCCTTTCTCAGAATTTCAACAGCTTTTCACCCTGATTCTGTTTTGGGCTGTGAGACTTTGCCGTCGCCCCCCCTTTGCATCTGGAAACCTGTGGGTATTTGCACATTTTCAAAATGCAGAATTCTGTTGTATGCATTCTTCCAAAGCATGAACATTTTAATTTAAAACTCACTACAGTCTTTGTCTCATTTCTGAGGTTCCATGCCCTCTATTCCATTGTCAGCCTCGGAAAACGCAAAAAACCCCATCTCCTCATGAAAATAGGAAACTAACCAATAACTTTTCGGGTGCATTGCTTTCTTCCACACAAAGTAATACTCTGTTAGAGCAAAATGAGTAACATCGTAATGTCATTGTTTCCCACCTTCTGCAGCTTTAACCGAATTGACATTCCACCTTACGAGTCCTACGAGAAGCTTTATGAAAAGCTGCTGACGGCTGTGGAAGAGACCTGTGGGTTTGCAGTGGAGTGAATGGGCAACCAAAGGAAACAGATACTAGCTCATGGACCACCAAATCAAAAGCTGGAAGAAGATGCTTGCTGTGAACATCTTTTTTTGTCCAAAGCATTGGGACGCTCGACGACTGGGGAGGCTGAGGCTGTTTCCCCTCCTGCGTCGTTGTTGTTGGGGGGGAGGGGGCTTTTGTTGGTGGTTCCCAACCGTACTTTTCTCCCTTTTGTTAAAAGTAACCCACCAACCCTTTTTCTTTTCATTTCCCGCAAAACAAAAGGCAACCAGGTTCCGCATTTGGTTTTGGTTACCCAAGATATTCTGCTAGACTCGTAACACATATTGTGATAAGGTCAACGACCTGTGGTCTTTTTTTATAGGAGTATCAAAACTGTAGTTGAAGTATCTTGAGATGGTTTGCTGAGGACTTTTGACTGGTAGGTGTATATGGATGTTTTGTCTGAACACAGTTCTCAGCCCTTGTAGCGTCCAAAAGCTATGGAAGACGAGGCTGGCGCAGGAAACTCAAGTTGCACATTTCAGAAAATTCATTTAAGGATGGATAGCAGAAAGCAGGTCTATAGGCGCACCAACATCTGACGATGACCTTCGGCAGGAAGCTCTTGGCGTGAGAACGGTAGCTTGGCTCTTCAGAGGGAAAAGAAAGAAGTCCGAGCCATTTTGAATTGGGAGGTCACTATCTGTTTCGATGCTTCCTACGTGAGAAGCTTTTGCTGTGCGGGCTTGCTTCTCTTCCCTGTGTGACGACTGGCATATGGCAGAGAACGCAGCAAGGGGCTTAGGCCCTAATTATGAGCCGATTAAAAGATGGGGTTCCCCTCCCCCCAGTTTTCTCAGAAGCGTTCATTGATTTGAAATGGAAGAAAACGTTTTGACAAGAAGTAACTGAAAGTAAAGTTAACCAAGCCAGGTTCTGTCCCTGAGCTGTCAGGAATGAGGAACAGCTCTTTTGAAAAAAGGAATATGTGGTGAATAAAGGTCAAACACAAGGGTTTTAGCCTATAGATTCAGAGTAATTGGGTGCATTCATCTTTGCCTCTTTCCAGCTTCTCTTCCTGCCACCCTTGCCATCAGAGAGGCCTCCTGTTCAAATTGATATGAATTCATTGGCTTCCTATGACTTCCTGGGGGTGTGTGTGGAAGAACCAAAGCACTCAGATGATTGTAGGCAACCACTTTTTCTTTTTTCTAAGTTTGAGCAACAAGGCAGTATTTAGCAACAGAACATTTTTTCACAAAAAGCATTAAATATAACTAGGCAGACCTGGTTTGTAAACCTTCCCCCACCTGCTGTTTCAAAACAAGCAGTGATAGGTATTAATTGACCATGTGGACAGCGTGGTGGACTTCAGTTCCGGCTCACGTCGCATTTTGGACTACGAGGATATTTCTATTGCCAATTTCAGCAAGGAAGTAAATTGACATAGAGAATAGCTTTAAACTGTAAGAGGACAAACTAAAGTTAGATTCTTGTCGGAATTTTGTTTGCGCAATTGACTGTAATGTCTGTGATTTGGTGACGGAAGTATGAGGATTACATTTGAGAAATATTATTTTGTGATATTTGCACCACGTGGCGAAAGGGCTGGGTTTTTTGTAGGTGAGCTGAGACCTAACTTGGAATGGACTTAGGGATCCAGTCTCACTTAAGGGACCAGTTCACTGCATTATGAGTGATTTGTGGAGGTGTGGGGGAGGGGATATGAAGGGAAATGGGGAAATGTGGGGTGGGTGGGTTGGAGTTTTGTTTTTTGTTACACAATCTTGTGATCTTCTGGATAAATGAATTCTGATGACTCGCCTTTCCAGAAGCCTGTGGAGAATGGATGTTGTCCATTGGAGATTATTAGCCCCATTCCTGGTCATAATGAACTGTCTCAGTGGAACTGGAATGGGCAAGATGATTCCAGAGATACAGAGGTTACCCACAGGTTTGCCGAGACTACTGAGGGCTGTGCAAGAGGAGAGACATTTTCCTTTAGCACCAAAGCAACATAGGATAAGCATACATAGGACTGATGGTTTATATGATTCAAGACCCATTGTTGCATGGCTCTAAGGATGAGGTGGTATGTTCCATGCAGCTGGAGCCCATCCTGGACTGGTGGCATCTGAAGCAGAGACTTTGGCTCAGATGAAAAGAGCAGGTTACATGCTTCAAACAAAGAAGCCAGGCCCCAAGGTATCATGAGAATTAGTTCTGGATCAATATTCAGACCACACAGTGCAGACAGCTCCTCCATAGTAGTAGCAGCACGGAGGATAGAGGAGAAGTTTGTCTCCAAAACCACCTTCATGTTCCCTGTTGTTTTTTCCCCTCAAGTTTTCCTGCCGCTGTTCCATCAACCAAGAGCCCAAATAGGGAGTGTGCAATCATTCTGTATCTTGATGGTTGAAACTGGAGAAAGAAATCAAGGTAGACAAACCGTTGGTCCTACTTGGTGTGGTTTTTCTCCCGCCGGCCACCCAGGCGCGAGCTAGAGCACCATGGATCCCCTGTTCTGCTCAAGCTGAGTGTCCCACATCGCTTTCTCCAACAAGAAAGTTGTACGAGGATGAGCAGAAAGAGTAGTCTTCTTCTGGCTTGCAAACAGCTAAGCTTTAACGTGTCTATTGCTGCGGGCTTTTCATTTCAACCATCCCAAGCAAAGAACCCCAAAAAAACTTGATCTCTGTTTGCTGTCACATCTTTGTAGATGGATGTCATCTGGAGTAGGTTCGGGTTTGGTCAGAAGTCGCTCTACCTTTAAGGGAGATGGATGATGAGTTGAAAGCAACAGGAAGCGCCCTGCTTCTCTAAAGCTGCACCCCTGGCTGTGTTGGCATGCATGTATCTCCCACCTCCAGGAGATGCGAAGCTGCTGTTTCACAGCGCCATGCACTTCCTGGCCCATCAGATGGTCGCAGTCGGAGCCTCCTAAGATAGATGGTCTTTGGTGTCTCTAAGCAGCGGCAAAGCTAACACCAAGTGGAGTGATGCAAATCTTTCCATGTCTGTAGGATTTCTGTTTGTCTGTCTGTCTGTTTACTTGCCCTGAAATACATCATCAGGCGTTTATGCACTCAGGGATGTGGGAAATCACCACTCCATTTGTGTTTTTAAAGTGAGAAGGTGTGAGTAGTTCTAAATCAAACCTGAACATGGTAGACCAATGTCTGCTTTTTAAAAGAGATTGCTTGCTTAGCATTGGGCATGGTTTATAAAACCTCAACTCTAATTAAAGATCTCCTTCTGACCCTTCATAGCCCCGGTACCCTGTATTCTACACTGTAGAGCACAGACGGTTTTCCAGAAAATGCAGTACATCATTCATTTTTACTCTGTTAATTTTTTTTTTGTTCCTCAACCACTTTGTAATGTATTTTTTAACTTATTATTTTGTAACGTCTTTGTTTTTAAGTATTGCTGCTACCCTTGTTACTCTTCTCACCATTTTTATTGCGGATTTTATTTTGTGAAGAAAAAAAAAGTTGTACACTAATGTTTTTCATTTTATGTCTAAATCAAAGTATTTAAAGAAATACTAGTTCTATTTAACGTTGGGTATGGAGCCAGCTGAAATAAACAGTGATTGTATAGTAGGCTGGGCCCAGGAGGTCATGTTCATTTTTGTTACATATGCAATAAACACTCACAACTTTAAGTTTTGTGTTTTTAATCCGTTATCTGATGCATTTCCCTCAAGGTGTTAGATACACAAAACTTAATAAAACCCATTTACGAATCTTACCATAATTGCATTCATGGTGGTACACCTGGGAACTTGCCTTTATCTGCTCATCGGAAGCCGATTCACACCAGATCGTAAGACCATAGGAAGAGTCCTGGTGGGTCAGACTCAAGGTCTGCCTAGCATTTATCACAGTGAGCAGCCAGCGTCTTGTAGCAAGTCTGCCCACGGGCTCCATGTGCAAGAGTCCGCCATCTGCCTCCTCCATTCCCCAGCAGCTGCCACCCACCTCCAGGCGTAGTAACTCTGGTACGGTCCTCGCCAATAGCCCCTCGGCGTCAGCCTCCATGGATTTGTCTAGTCCTATTCTTAAGGCCATTGAGCTTGGCAGCCCTCTTTGTCCCTGGCGGCAGGGACCTATTTGGTGAGAACCAATGCCTTTCTCTCCTGGCATTGTTCACTTGGACTGGCACCCTCTGAGACCGACACTGCGAGAGAAGTATTTAGGATCAGCCATAGCATATACCTTTTTTCAAATCTTATAGCTTTACTTGCAATTTTTCACCTACTGGGAGTTGAAAGCCCTTAAGAGATCTAGTGATCATCATTGTCAAGTAGATTCTGGTCTGTTGCCCATTACTGAAAGTCAGTAAATACTGGCTCATTGTACTTCCAGTTCACAGAGTAGTGGGACTTGCTGATCATCTTCCCGGTTGGTAAATGGTCATCTGTCTTCTGAACCCAACCTTGAGCAAGGGGTTGGACTCAATGGCCTTCTAGGCCCCTTCGAACTTCATCATTCTATGAGAATAGGCAGGGGAATTCATAATGCCTTGGAGTTCCCATAAAACGTACCTCTGCCCAGAACACCCCGGTCTGTCTCCCCTAACAAGAAAAGGAGTCCAAGAAGGGTGGGAGCTTCTTAAAAAAGAAATTCTAAAAGCACAAACAATTCCAACAAGATACTTGAAAGGACTGGTCTCTTTTGACTATTCGGCCCTCTAAGTTGTTTAAGGAAGAAGACTTAAATTTTCTGTTTTTCCAATCCTCAATGAGTCAAAGATTAAACCTAATAATACAGCATCATCTGAAATGATCCTTTCATTTGTCTGCTATATAATTCCTCCATCACACCTTGGAACCATGTGCAGATCAGCTCTCCTCCTGCTTCAGTTCCCCTTCTCTCTTTTCCCCATGCGGCTTGCTTTAGCATGTACTCTCACAAACAGGAAATGTTAACAAAAGCCTGTTTATTCATACAAGTCTCTACACACTTTTTGTAGTTTTTATGTTGGCTTCTAAAGGTAAAGGTTCCCCTTGACATTTTCAGTCCAGTCGTGTCCGATTCGAGGGGGCGGTCCTCATCCCGTTTTTAAGCCGTAGAGCCAGCGCTTGTCTGAAGACAATTTCCCTCCCGTAGAGCCAGCGCTTATCCGAAGACAATTTCCCTCCTCACATGGCCAGCGTGACTAGGGAACGCCGTTTTTTCCTTCCCACCGAGGTGGTACCTATTTATCTACTTGCATTTGCATGCTTTCGAACTGCTAGGTTGGCGAGGAGCTGGGACAAGCGATGGGAGCTCACTCTGTCACGTGGATTCGATCTTAGGACTGCTGGTCTTCTGACCCTGCAGCACAGGCTTCTGCGGTTTAGCCCGCAGCGCCACCACGTCCCTGTTGTACCTCTTTTATGTCTGAGGAAGTGGATTTGTCCATGAAAGCTCATATTAAAAATATACATATAACAGTCTTTAATGTACCACCATGTTTTTAATTTTTCTTTTATTTTTATCATTTTTTCTTTTACTTTGTTTTTACCTATAATGCTTACACAGACTAACATGGCTGCCTCTTCTACAACTATGATCAGAAAGAGGACATATAATTTCAGTGCTACACAGATTTGCATAAACTTGTAGTGGAAATACACTTGTATTCTAGCCACACTTACAACTTTATCTTCACAAACCAAGCTGGGGGCTGGGTGAGGATCTACACCTGTTTTCAACAGACGCCGGAATGGTTAGCCCTTGTGCCACTGATTCACAAAGCTAATTCCCACCTTCCTAGTGAAAGCCAACGTAGAGTCCTTGAGCCTTCAAATGACCGAGTTGGCCCTGTAGATCAATCAGTGCATGCCATAAGCCTCAGCACCTATTTTTCACAACACAGAAATCCATGCATAAAGTTTCTGATTCTATAGGTTGTTTGTATCACAGTTCCTTTTCACATCAATGTGCCGTCTTTACTTGTCACCAGAAGATTGTTTTCTGTGTAATCATGTACAGCCCACTTGAGAAAAGGGATCTTTGGAATATTCCCCCCTCCCCAGCCAGTTTATTTACTTCCAAATAAATAGAAACTAACTACAATATCTATAAGGCATACTTCTAAAGGAAGGCACAAAATTATTAAAAACCACAAAACCATCACTAAATCCATTAAAAAGACTCAGAACAATATTTGAAGTAGTCTGTTATTCCTATCACATTCATGTATCTGCAGCTATATATTAGCTTAAAAGAGGCATACACTTGGACTGTAATTTCAAATTGTTTAATAAATATAGTCACTTTTGAATATTTCATTATCTTGATATAATTAAATATACACAAACACGCACAAAGAAAGAGGGGGGGAGCTTGTTCTTATCAGTGAAAGCATTAGGGTTTTGAGAAATAGGTTAGATAAAGATTCTGCAAAGTTGAGCTAAGATTCTGCCCAAATTCTGAAGTAGTTCTGCTGCAGCATGGATTAAATGAACAGTATTATCATATACAAAACAACATGTCACATGCCACTTCTAAAACACAAAACACGGAAGGTTGGGATCCCCCATAATTTTTTTGAATTCCCCATAATTCCCCAACCAGCAAGACAACTGGCCCTGGTGTCCAGGGATTTGTGGCTGCTATAATTGTTCCAAGTCTCCGTTGTGTACTGCAGGATTTCTGGGAGGAGAAGCTGAATTTAGAGACATAAGCAACTTGGCCTCCAGCAAAAGTCTTGAAAGTTTTGCACAGAGTTCATACTGACTTGTTTACATTGCAGCAAACAAGAAACACCATCATTAGCAAGTAGAAACATTGACTATTCACAGCAATGTTCGCCACCACTTTTGCAATTAAATCCTGACCAATAAATAAATAAATAAATTTAGTCATTCCTCTGCAGTCAGACTCACTGCCGTAATGTATACATGTTTGCGCTGCTTGCCCCGGAACAAGCAAGCCGCTTCAATCCCAAGAGAGACCGCTGTGCAGCATGGAGAAGACTGCGGAAGACTAATCCAGCTCGGGCCTCCTTTGCACAGCAGTAAACAAGAGCACAAATTAGACATGCTAAATATACTGACCACTCATTGTCCCATCAAGAATCCACTTATGGTTGTTGAATGGCATCCTGACCTTAAACCCTGACATATCTGTGAGCATTTATATTTTTCTGATGAATATACCGTATTTTTCTGTGTATAAGACGCCCCTGTGTATAAGACGCCCCCACTTTTCTAACCCAAAAGTAAGAAATCTAAGTGGGACTTAGCAAGTGTAAGGGTAAAGGGATCAAAGCCCTGCAGGATCACTTTGATCCCTGCTTTCCCTTCCACTTATTTTTGTTCTCTCCTAAGCTTACTTCCGAATATAAGACGGCCCTCAATTTTTATTCTAAAGATTTTAGACAAAAGTATAGTCTTATACATGGAAAAATATGGTATTATCTTGCAGGACATCCCACTTGGTCTACTCTCTTGTGTAAACTTTATCAAAACAAACGGAACCTGGGCAGAAGCATGGATAAATTCATGCTGCTCGTGGCATCAGGCAAATTGCACCCTTGCCCTTCATGAATCCAGGTGTCTTGTTCTCTTTGCCACCCATGAACCTGACACAGGTGTGCTATTTCTCAGTTATGAGCCCAGGTGGATTTCTCTCTTTGCCATTCAAGGACCTGGGGGTTGTTCCCTTTATCACTTATAAATCCAGGTGATTTGTGCCCTTGGCCATTTGTGAATTACTTTTCCAGCAAAAAAACACAAGTCATAAAAAGACTGAAGGCTTACCTATAACAGATAATTAAACCTCCATGAAACATATTACACCAGAACAAAACAGCACATCCAAATTCCAGGCAAACTGGGATTCAAGATTACTCAGACACCTTGACCACAGATGATGATCCTGTTTGGTTCTGCTAATTTATACAATGTCTCCTGGCATTGTTCATTCATTTTGTAAACTTTCCTTTGCAGCCTTAAGGACCAGATTCTTAGGATGCTGCTTTCAGTAGCCGGTTGCTTTGCTTTGGTGCTCTTCCATAAGGGCAGAAATTCAGATTCACACACAACTCCCCTGCCTTTCTGGTGAGTGATTTTTGCTCTTTAGTCTGTTGGTGGCAGTTGTTTGTTTGTTGTTGATCTGTTTGGTTGCTAAGTATGTATCCAACAAAGAAAGCAGCATACACAAGTCTGTAATTTCAAGCAACTGTAAAGAAATATTTTTGTATTTGTTCTCCTACAAATGTCTCAGAGTATGTTATTAAGACTTTAAGTATCAGTTAATGAAAAAGAGGTGGAATATCTGGGGAACTTGTAGCTATTTTCTTCGGTGGATCTCTGCTTCAGCTACACAGTAAAATAAATTTTACAAGAAATCCAAAATTCGGCAACAGTTTGATGAACTATAATCCCCAGACAGTAGACAAAATATCATACATTTACTGCATGTGGTGCTTCCATATTTTAAAAGTTAGCAGATGTATGTGGCTTCTCAAGCAGAAGAAAGGACTCTTGACTGAACCCGGCCTCTGGTACTCTTTTATTTACTGTCTACTCTTTCTAATCTCTGCCACTACTCACTTTTTTAATTCTTACCTACATTCTATGGTTTCCCATCCTTTCGATCTGCTCACGGTCTGCCTTCCCCACTTATCAGGCAACATAACATTTTCCTACATTTACTGTTTGAAGCGGTTGGGGGGCTGCAGGGAAAAATATTACACGGTGCTGCCTAGAGGCCTTCTGGAGCAACATCCCGTACCTCCCTGTTTAACTGCAGCATCCTCTACTGCTTGCAAATTACAGGCAAATGTTAATTAACTGAAATGAATTAATCTATATTAAAAAGAGAACACCTGTGAAGTGTATAGTCCTCCATTTGCCAAATTCTAGAGGTTTCACTGTCTTGAAGTGATAGCAGAGACACACTACGTTATATTATTTTTTTAAAAAAAACCCTCCTTCAAGTAGTCTTGTTTTTGTTGAATATACTAGTTTCCTGTTAGCAGGGTATGTTCTCCTCACAGTACAAATTTCAACTGTTATTTCCCATGAGCAATTTGCCTCAAATACGATTTCTCCATGGCAGTTATCTGACAGGCCTTATCCTGTATTGGAATAGCAGTAAAAGAAAGTAGGAATGTCCGGTCAACAGGCAGATGAAGGAACTGGACCAGTCCCACCTGAGGCCCACTTGGCTCCTAAAATAGGCCAGCTGAAACCCTTCCACTTATCTAGTCCACAGAGGGCTATGGGGGTGTGATCCATCTTCCTGCAATGGAACGGTCCTCTGCCCTGCCTTAGGAGTTATGTGGGAATGTAGCCAGACTCTTTCCAAACAGGTTCCTGTTGTGACTGTATTCCTGCTGTAACAACAAACTGTCAATTTGGTCATTGCTCCGGCAAACTCATTTTCAGTTTTCTCTCTTTTATGCAAAGAAAGCACAGTGGCTTGACATGACAGCGCCGCTCACTGCCTCCTTCAGGTGACAAGAGCAAAGCATTTACTTCCCAGGTGATGCCATCTTGTCCGGTTCAGTCTCCTCTTCTTGGAATATCTTGAAAGCTGAACTGGCAGTTCCGTCGCCACTTTGTTGAGAAAAGCATAGGAAAACTGCCCAGATAAAACCGCACAGGCCGGTGTAGGCCGTCCTCAGATACACTGGGACTAGGCTGAAGTTGGAAAGCTATTTGTGATAAAAGAAGACAGAAATGGTTTAAACATTCCCAAGAAAAATAAAATCTAGAGAATTTTGTGGAAGACTCTGCTCCCTTCCCTCCCATCCTGTTTTCCATACCTCACCTAAATACAGTGGTGCCTCACTTAATGATTGTCCCACATTATGACAAATCTGCCTTACAACAATCTTTTTGCAATTGCGATCGCAAAACAATGGTCTAAATGGGGGAATTTCGCTTAGCGATGATCGGTTCCCTGCTTCGGGAACTGATTTTCGCTTTACGACAATCAAAAACAGCTGATCGTCGGGTTTTCAAAATGGCCACCAGATGCTTAAAATGGCTCCCCGCTGTGCTTAGGGACGGATTCCTCGCTATACAGGCAGCGAAAATGGCCGCCGTATGGAGGATCTTCACTGGACAGTGAGTTTTTACCCCATTGGAACGCATTGAACGGGTTTCAATGTGTTTTAATGGGGTTTTTAATTTCGCTTTACGATGTTTTCACTTAACAGCGATTTTCCTGGAACAGATTATTGTCGTTAAGCGAGGCACCACCCATACAAGCACTCGGCATTTTGTGGTTACTGATTATGTTTGGAAACGTTACTTTTTTGGACTGCAACTCCCAGAGCCACCAACCACGTTGGCTGGGGTATTTAAAAAAAAATTATTTCAGATCTGTGGTAAGGGAAAGAGATATTACAGACATGGAGAAGGAGACTGCTCCGGATGCCTAGGAGTAGGAAAACAGTTAATGCACAACTCACAAATGAATAAGAACTACACATCAAAGGACCTAACCTCAAAAACCCATTTGGTTAAATATTCCCGCTAGTTATCTGCGCAGTCTGACACTCACCTGCACAAAAGGCCAGTACATCAACCCTGTCTAGGGGGAAAAGAAACATGTAAGTCCATTTTAGTCACAGACAGTTCATTCGTATGCTATTTTATTTCTACAATGCACTGCACCCAAAGCAGCCCCCACAATTACAGCAGCCAGCAATTACAATTATAAAACAGTAACATCGTTTCATTAGCTCAATTACAATCAATGTAAAACATATCAAAATCTTCATGAGCATAATATGTACCAATAAGTCAGTTCACAATATCCAGTGCCAGTAATATCAACATTATAACTGCATCTGAGCAACAAACCAAGCCAATTCATATTCAAGACCCAACAATAGGATACCTTGCCAAGATCAAAAATGGGGGGAAAAACAACAAAGAAAGGAAGTAAAGCAAATGAAGCTGAAGACAATTACCTGGTCATTCTGTACATACAGATCGTAGTGGGCAGCCTCCAGAAGTCTGGGGACCACAAGCACCCACCCTTGGGTCCCAATTCTATTCCCTGCTTACCCCAAAAATCTGTCACTATTTAAAAGGCTTTTTTAACTGGAGAAAAAAATCCCCTAACACTCTCTAGGGGCACATCGCTTTCTAAAGAATTAGGAAGGGCTTCCCTCTGAGTATGGCAAAATAGCCTTCCATCTCCCATATCAGGCAAAATTCAAAGAAACAAAGCAAAACAAAACGAAACAAAAAAGACAAAAGCATGCGGCACCTTAAAGACTATTATATTTTTATGTGAGCTTTCACAGACAAATCCACTTCATCAGACATATGGGGGGGAAATGAAAAGCTGGATGCAACATTAATTGCTTGCAAAAAACTAATACCACTACCTCTTCTAAAACTTCAATCTCTCAGAGGCACAAGGGGCTTCTTGAGCCAAACACTGGGGAGGCTGAGAGCTCCAATGGTATTTGGGCCCCAAGGAAGCATCATTTAAGCCCTTGGGAGACCTATACAGTCTACAGGCCTTGCCCTGCCCAATCCTGACACAGAAAGGGTATGGTGGCTCTCTGGGGTAGAATTCTTAGCCTTGCTGCTTTCTCCCATATTGTCAGTTTCTGAATCACCTGCAGTTTTCATCACTCAAGAAACATTGCATTTTTCCATCTTTAAGACACCCCCATGTATAAGATGCTCCCTCACATTTCTAACTCAAAATTAAGAAAACTTAGCTTTGAGCATTCACCCTCTGGACTCAGAATGCTCAAACATTACAAGTCCCTGTTGACTCTGAGCACTGCCTACAGGCTCAGCCGCTAACAAGTTATGTTCCAGTTCGTTTGTACAACATCAGCTGACATCAGTTCCATAAGGCTCGTGACTGGAGGAAGTTAAGTCTCATGATTAAAGGCAGCCTGTTTGTAGAGACAAGGTATGAGCCATTTTGTTCTCGCTTCAGCTTACTTCTCTGTATAAGACTACCCTCAATTTTTAGTCTAAAGATTTTGGTTAGCATAGTAAATTGCACTGGAGTAGGCCCACTGAATCAGTGGGGTGTTTGTTCAGTCAACTCTTCCATAAGTTCTCTTGATTCAAGTGGGCTTATTCAAACTGTGATTTTGGATGTAACTATACAGTGAGAAAAATGCAAATTCATCCACTGAGAAGTCATGTTTCTCCAGGTAAATTAACTTTAATTGGCTATATAGGGAATCAGGAGAGAGAGAGAGAGAGGATGAAATTGGGAAGTCTTGTTTGCAGCTTGTTAACATACTCCAAGGGCCAAATGTCAATTTCCTCTTCTCATTTTCTCTTTCTCTCTGCCTCTCTCTTTTGATTTTGAGATGCCCTAATGCCACAGTGCACGCCTTCAAAAAATGAAATAAAAGAACTTGCACTATTGGCAAAGATATCACCCTCTCTGTGTTTTAACATTGCCCCCTCCAACAACTACTGTACATCCCTCTGCCAGAGCATTTGCTGGAAAACAAATGCTGGGGATTGTGTTCCAGTTGAGAAAATAGATGATGAAGGGCTGGCTCCATCTTGTTCTTCCTCATGAGGCAAAAGGGGAGGGGGGAGGTCCTCTCCATCCTACCAACAACCAGCTCCCCTACACACATTCTTCTACATTGGTTCAAGTCATCACACTGCCAGAACTGAGGTGAATGGATTCACTGTAAAAGCAACAACAACAACCCCAATGGTGGAGGAAAAAACTGCAGAGTCGGGTGGGGTGGGGGAAGAAGTCCTGGCCAATTTGCACTGAACATTATGTGGTCAATAGAAAATAATGTGAATCTGACCATCTCAATCCCAGAGCATTTCCCACATTACAGTATATGTAGTCACATTCTTATCATAGCACAGTAAATTGCAGTTAGAAAAGACCCACGAATCCTCATAGCGACGATTTTTCCGGAACGGATTATCGTCGCTATGCAGGGCACCACTGTATTTCTAACCAAGTTTACAGAACTATGGTATGTGTTAATGGAAGCAAAGCCATGTTGTTATATAACCCTCCATTAAAACAGTTAAGGTTTTAGAAGAGCATCCTTTAATGCAAAATAGGCTTGAATGGAGATTGAAAAATTACTGGGTCCAGACTATGACAGAAGACTTCCTGTGGCTGAGTAGGTCACACCTTTTTACTTCCTATCCATCATTATGTCTTGTATGTAATATCTTAAATGGTACAACAATGTGTTTTGCCTTGTAATACTTTTGCTTATTTCTTTTAAATCACCGTTTATCAGTTCAACCACTGTGTTTCCGCCTTCCACTCTGTTGCCATTCTCATCTCCTCAATCTACCACTTTAAGAGCCACAGATATATTACACTGCCTTGCTTTACAACAAACAAGTTGAGCATTGTGGGCTAGTGGAACTATGTGTTACCTAATAAGTTGGCATACTTGCCAGATTGATGAACAAATGCTTAATGGAACAAATGATTCTTCAAGCTGAAACAGAGGAACACCTCTGAATATTTCACACATGTAAAATTCTTTTAATAATGCATGATTTAAGTTGGTGGAAGAGGTTTTGTGAAGAATTCTTCACAGCAATATTATAATTAGGACTGTAGTAGGTCTAGATCTCCCAGCGTTCGAAGAACTGTGATTTTTGACTGGCAGAATGGATCACACCATCTGCTACTCTGTTCTGTCTCCGCTTAGTACACTCCTCATAGTAGCTGGTGGAAACAGATCCATTTTCCCAACAAAAAAAATGAGTTTTCTGGATTCCCCTTGTTGTAATGCAGAGAATTTTTGGTGGTGATTTGGCCTTGAGTGACATTGAAGAACCACTAACTTTACAAAAGACCTACTCCTGGTGGAGATGAATACTGTTAAGAACTGGTTTGGATAAACACTGCTGTTTGCATATTTGGACTCTTCTTAAAGGCATGGCAACGGAGATTGTCAGGGTGACAGCCTTCATTCCAAAAATTACCATGGCACCATCAGCTGGTTTGCTGATTGTCATCACCCTGAAGTACTGCTGATGGAAGGGCTGTAGAGGTACATTCTACCTGACAGTCTCCTTGGAAGCACTGATGCTAGGGCAATCAGATATAAAACCGGACAGAGTTCCTGTACGTTTAATAGTCGTGCAGACTGAGATGATTTCAACAGCTACCGCAGTTGCACTTCATGATGATGTCTCTAAACATAGGGAGAATTTGGGCTGCATTCACACATTAACAGCAGGTCTGGTTAGAGAAGAAAGTCTGTGTCCCCATGCTTTACAGCCCTCATAATCTGAGCAGAAAACCAGCCAGGAAAAGAAGACATGGGCACTAAATCCCAACTACCCAGATCTTGGTTTTTTGCTTCCAGATAGGCCAGGATCATAAGCCATGGTTTGTTGTCACTTTCCTAATCCTGTCCTGTCTCAGAATAACAAAACCTGGCTTCAAACACAATAAGAACATCTCAGCGTCTCCATTAGCCAACTTGCTTGTGTAGGAGAACAAGACAGGAGTGAGTGAGATGAGTGACATGATGCAGAAATAGATTTATTGGCTGATCCCACTGAAAAGCACGACAGGGGCAGGACAGATTCCATCAAAACACAGGACAGACCAAAAAACTGAGACTGGATGATTTCTGGCTCCTAGCCAGCATCGCACTCAGGAATTGAACAATGGGACCACATTTAGCACAGTACTGAACTCACCTTATATGTGTTCCAGAATTTCTTTCTGCAGTCTGCAAAAATATCTTCTTTTCCTTGAAGGATACTCATTCCTGGTCACAAAATATATGAAGAATATCAGAATACTGGAAAAATCTCTTAGGGGTGTCTCTGTACTCCATACGTATTTACTTGCTTGTTAATGTCCAGCTGCTGTTTTGAGGGAAGTGGGTCCAGCAGGTATATGGGTCCTATGTCATGTTAAAGGTAACAACCAACTTCTTGAACTGAATCCAGAAAACCACTGGCAGTCAATGCAGCTGGTGCAAAATATGTATGTGGAATCATGACAGAAGGCGGCCATGAATAACCTAGCTGTTGCACCAGCCGTAGCTTCTCAGTTGCCTTCAATGCTAACCCCACACAGAGCAAATTACAGTAGTCTTGTGTGTTGGAAAGACGTCATGCAGCATTTGGCATTTTATTGGAAAACATCAACCCAGAATCAGACATAGAACGATGGGTGCCCCTTTCGTCAAGCATGCTATTTATTGTTCCCTTGAACATACAGATTTTCCATTTTTGTATTGATTAATATTCTTGTCGGATACCCAGTGTGGTACAGAGGATAGAGTGACAGACTAGGACTCGGGGGGGGGAGGGGGCTGGGTTCAAATTTCTATTCAGCCACTGAAACTCAATAATTAT